TATATATATATATTAATTGAATAATATATAAATTAATATAAATGTATATATATATATTAATTTATATTAATTGAATAATATTTAATTTATATTAATTTATATATTATTCAATTAATATATATATATATATCTATTATATTTTAATAATTTATAATTTTATAATTTAATAATTTGTAAATATAATAAATTAAAGTTTTAATAATTTATAATTTTAGAAAGTTTAAATTTATAATAAGTTAAAATTTGAAGAAGTTATAATTTTATTAAGTTTTACTTTTAATAAGTTACAATTTTAGAAAGTTTATATTTATAAAAAAAAATCAAATTTAAAAATAATAATTTTAATATGTAATTTTTATAATAAATTAGAAATTTAATAAATAATAATTTTAATACGTGATATTTTTAATAAATTAGAAATATAATAAATAATAAATATAATAAGTTATATTTATGTGTGTATTTAGAAAAATATTAATAAAATATATAATTTAAATATCTTTATAATTAGTAAATATAATAAATTAGTGTGTAATAAATATATTAATTATAATTATAATAATGTATAAATTTAATAATGTATAATGTTAATAATTTATAATAATTATAATTTATAATTTAATAATTTATAATATTAATAACTTTATTACATTGATAAAGAGACAGGGTGCATTAAAAGTAAAAATTCATAACATTAAGATAGAGTGAATTATATAAGGTTTTTAATCTCTGTAATGGTGTCCAGTTCCACAACGAGGGCGACGTCTGTTGCGGACGGGGTTACGCCGTGGAGGTTATTGCTCAACAGGATTTGGATCATCAAGCACTGGTTGTTGGAATGCAATTGAAGAACTATCAGGTTTATTAGCGAATTCTGGTTGCATGTATGACTATGTTGCAGATAGAGTTCTACAATCTACTCCAAATAAATTTGTAAAAAAAATCCTCTGAAATTGTTGCAAACGAATTTCTTCTATCAATTATGTTTTCTTGTGGTGTGATGTTGTGTGGAGAATTTGATACATGCTGATGAGTCTCTTTATACGACAACATGGAAGTCGCACCGGTTTCAAATGTTGTGGAAGTCCTTCGTTGTGGCTGGGTCCTTGGATCTTGTAAAAGTCGTGACACATATAGGAAATAGATGGAATTGACTATGTACCATTCCATGTATTCTCGTGTGTGAAACAATGGGCCTTGCATTGGATGACCCATTAATGTGTGCTCACGTCTATTGTTTCACATGTCGATCCATTGAGCATGTCTTATAACCCAATTTTCATATTGTCTTCCCCTCATGTCAATTTTGTGTAGGTTATCCAAATTATTGGGTGGAGAAGGGACATCTTGGAAGAGACAAAATTACAATTTCACGCTATCCGATTGGTGCCATTCAACAATTGCAAAACAAATTCTGGGGGTACATGAAGTGTACAGTTGGGCACCTCTATATGCTTGCATGGGTATTGATGTTTGCAAGACATGATATGGAGCCCATAAAAACTACAAATAATTTAAACTTTGTTAGTTAAGAGAATATGCTAAACAAAAGAAAATAAGAAAAATAAAACTTTGTTATGAAGAGTTACCTGATCAGCCTGAATGTGATCAAACCTTGATCTGTATCCGACAACATCATTATGAGGTACACTTCAAAAGTTTAGTACTCTACCCCTGCTCCATTTGCAGACCAAAGGGAATGTTGGTGGTACTTTGGAAATTGGCGCAATATATGGCATGCGATGCCATGCTCAAGATTGTAACAATGATGCACAACCACCCATTGTTCTGCTCGTAACATCTATGGCTTTACACATTTTCCTGTATAACGTAGCTAAACAAGAAGACCCCCAACTATATCGTCTTGTTCTTCTAAGATTTATTAATAAAGATAAATACATAAGATATACCTTATTTCCTGTTTTGTCAAGCATCAAAATACCTCCTATTAAACCTAATATATATGCCCTACAATGTGCATGAAGTTCTTCTTGAGATGGTTCCTCTGGTAATTCCAACATATTTTCTCTTAACCACTTTAGCTTGATCATAGAGCTAATTAGTGACTCTCCTTTAACTAGCACAATACCAAGATACGTGGAACACATATCCTCCCAATCATATAATGTTGGGCCAATGACTGGTAAACCATCAACTCTTAGGTTGAGTTGAATTGCAACATCCTCCAGTGTTATCGTGCACTCACCTGTTGGAAAATGGAAGGTGTGAGTCTCAAGTCTCCATCTTTCAACCAAAGTTGTCACCAATGCATGATCCACCTTGAGATGCCTGAGGTTTGCAACCCTAGAAAAACTAACTTCCTCTAGTATAGGAACAATTAGAGGGTGGGGTTCTGGCATTGAATGACAGTAAGAGGAAATAATATTTTCAGTTTCCTGCAATGATTAACAAAAATAGTACCATTATATGTAAGAGGTTCATTGAAATTTTAAGCAAATAACGATGGTGTTCAACTTACCGTTCTACCAATGAAGGCAGATCTGTGTTCATTTTGCTTCCACAACAATATTTTTGGTATTTGATAACTGAGAATCGAAACAAAGAACGATGCAATTGAGAATGGAACTTTGAAACAAATCAAATAAGAATGGAACTAAGAATGATAGTTACTTTGATAGTTAACATGGTTATTTATAGAGGTGTTATGATTGAGCTGGAGAGACACTTGCATTGGATTCCTGAAGTTGTAATTACATTATTAGCCACAGTCTAAGTCTGAGCTTCAAGTCTTTTGAGATAAGGTTCCCATCATTATTATCTCTGAAGGTGTGACTAACATGTGTTGTAATGTGGACAGAGGGAATCAATGCGGTGAAGGCGTCACTAACATGTGTTGTAATGTGGACAGAGGGAATCAATACTTTGAAGGCGTGACTGACATATGTTGTAACGTGGACGAGGGAATTAATGCTCTAAAAGGGTGACTGACATGTCCTTATCATTGACAAAGGTAGGACCCACATGGTACAATTTGCGTTTAGAGTAATTTATTGAGATTTAGGGCTAACTAGTTTGATAAGTTACAAATTTTTTTGACTTCTGAAACTTGTACCGTTGGATTTGTTGATATGAAAACTATAGATATAAGTGGGTTGGTTAGGGTTTTTGGGTAAAATTTTCCAATTTAGGGCTAAGGTAAGGGTTATGGTTAGGGTTAGGGTTGGGTTAGGGTTAGGGTTAGTCATAGTGTTTAGTGTTATGCTTAGGGTTAGGGTTAAGGCCTAGGGAATCATTCCCTCTTCAGAATACGTGCACTAATGTGTGGGGCCCAGGGAATCAATTCCTTCTAACGCGTGGGGCGCAGGGAACTAATGTTTGAATGAAGGAGTCACCTTCTCCTCCCCATCTACAAAATTAGTTCGTATTAAGAGAGGAATTACTCTAGAAAGGCTATAGAAAGTCATCCACATAAAGCTACATCGACAAGATTATGAAAGGGTTACTAGCATACATTTTCGCTACCCTATTAGACTTGGCCCAGGGGTTAGTAACTACACTTGTGTTGAGTTGGCTGATGATGAAGACGTTGAGACACTTTTCAATGTTCACGATTCTAATCAACTCCAATCAGATATTGAATTATATGCTACCTTTACTACAATTGAATCACATCCACCACAAGGTTCACCTTCACCTTCACCTTCACCTTACAAAATTTACCAAACTTACCAAAACACAAACCCCTCTGGTACTTCTCATGATATTCCCTCTAATTACGACATTGAGTCATACACAACTTTTAACTGGTCCATTCATGAACCTTAATCAAATACCTTCTCAGCCATTCGACCAAGC